ACTGGGAATTATTGCAGGGTTTGCGTGGGCAACGTCTTTGACGAAGTTAATTCTCCTTGTCCCGTGCGACGCTGCAAGGCTGCATTGGCACCGCGTTGCCATATGCGTTGCCGTCGACGGTCTAACTTTCTTCGGCTCAGCCACGTCTGACAAGCTCGGAGGTCGGGTAGGCTCCGCCACCCGGCACGCGTGCACGCAGTTGGAGAGGCTCCAGCTCATCGTTTCGAGGGAGAAAGAGGTGATCGTGTCGTCGGACAACTTCGTCGCCGCCGAGATCCGGAAGAAGCTAGATAAGTGGGATTTTGTTGTTAGCTTTTCGTCCGAAGACCTTGGGGTCGACTTCGGTTGGAAGGAAAAAAAGGGGGGGCTCCAAGGTCCAATTTTCCAGGCTTCGGAAGCTTCGACCTCGAGTTCGGCGCTATCGTGGGCTCCGAAGCTCGTTCCGAGGCGCTGCTAAAGTCGTTCGCGTCGGAGTTCTGTCTGCTGCTATGCATGGCACTTCTGTTATTGGGTTGTCGGGCAAGAGAGTGGTCGAGCTCAGGGCCCAGATGGGCCAGGCCCCCTCTGGGGCCCCGAAGGGTAGGCCTCGCACCCTCGAGTTCCTTCGGGGCCCTGAGCCATTGGCGGACCCCGAGTATTTGGCCAACTCTGGTCCGACATCTCTTGGGTTCTGGCACTGCCGCAGCCTTGGGTGCCTGAAAGGGCCATGCGATCATGTTTCGAGGCGTTCATGAGGCTCGAGAACATTTCTTGGCAAGATGTGCAGGGCCTTGCTGGTGCGGTTATATGTACTTTGAAGCGTCTGCGGTGAGGTATCGCCTCCTGGGACTCCTGGGTCACTGGCGACGGCGTCCCGATCAATCCCTGCAACTTCGGTAAAAGAACTTGCAGGTCCCTGATCAACTCCAGCACCCAGAGGTCCTCGGTACAAGGCCTAGGTTGGCCGTTCTGGAAGATCGATGGCCTAACCGCAGGCCCCTGCCTCACGCCGCTCATTGTGGATTCGAAGGAGCTGCGCACGCTGGGGAAAGGCTCTTCAGCAGGCAGACTGGCAACGGATGTGGCAGGAGGTTCCCCGACGCAGCAGACGCTCCTCACTGATCGCAGAGCTGCGACGCAGGACTGCCTTCGGTGCCTGCAAGGTCCTGGCACCAGGCAGCATCCCTAGCACCTGCGCGATGCACGCAGCCTGTTCAGACGAGATCTTGATCTAGATCGTGTTATTCAGGCTGGCTGCGAGGGAGGGGATGGTGACCTCGCTACTACAAGATGCCCCATCCCAAGCCCCGAATGGGAATGGCCGAAGCCCTCTACCTCACAGCCGAGCCCAAATTGAGTGTGCACCCCAGATATTGCGTCCTTGACTCGGGCTTCGTCTGCTTGGATGGCTCGGTCGTCGACCCAGGGTTGCTCAGTTTCACGAGGGCAGGATACGGAGTGGTCGCAGTCGACTTGGGAGGCAACGTCGAGGGCGCACTCTACGGCCCCTTGCCTCACCCGCTGCAGATGGCGGGCTGCGGAGAGGTTTTCGCGCTGCTCGTGGCCCTGCGCTTTCTGGGGCCGACTGTCACCACCATCGCCACTGATTGCAAACTGGTTCTCGATATTTGGTCCAAGGGCCCGCTCCAGGATCTGTCTGACGCTTGTTTAAGTGAGCTTTCGGTTGACATTTTCAGGATCGCCACCTATATTGGGTTTGCAAATTTATCCATGGCGAAGGTGAAGTCACATTTAAGTAGGGCTGCAGCCCTATCCAGAGGCACACCGTGCTGGGCCTGGGCTGGCAACCGCGAGGCAGATCGTCTCGCGCGACTCGGTGCCGAAGCCCAAGCGGCTCTTCCATCTGTCAGACAGCGTTACGAGGTTGTTCCGGCCAGCGTCCTCCAGACAGCTCGTTTCGTTTCGAGTATGTTGGACAGTTTGGCTTGCCATGGGTTTCCCGATGTGACCGAGGTTAAACGCGCTGTTCGACCCAAACCAGCGGTTTTGCAACTCGTTCCAGAACCCCGAGGCCATGTACTGATGCGTGTAGGCAAATCGTATGCATGCTCTCGGTGTGGGGACAGGGGCGAATCTAGGGTGTCGATATGCATAATCCCCTGCCGCGGTCTCCCCCGCCCCGCCCGCACCCCCCACCCCTCCCATAGAGTGGGTTGGGGGAGGTCGGGTGGCGTACTGTTCGAAGTGCGGGGCCTTCGGATCTGAGCGTTCCAGATTTCTTCGGGAGGCGTGCCACGGAGGGCCCAGGAATCGGGGCGCCGCCAATTCTTTGAGGCTCTTGAAGTCGGGCGTGGACCCGTCGAGCGGAGCCCCCTTCGACAGGAACCTTCCTGTCTTCCACCTCCTGGCTGTGCCGCCGCCGCTGTCAAATCCATCGCAGCCGCCGTGAGCACTGCAGGCGGCAATTCGTTTCTCTCTGTTCTTTCTCATTAGCGGGCCTGCTGCTGCATCCCTCTCTGTATAGGCGGTAACTTGTCATCATCGCAGAAGGTCGCAGAAGGAGGAGCAGGAGGAGGAGGAGGAGGAGGAGGAGGAGGAGGAGGAGGAGAT